CAAACAGTGGAAAAGGAAGCCCTGAATTTCACCAACAAGGGTTCTGTTCAGAGAACTGACTCACTTCTTTCCCCAAGGCCGCAGTCCCAGGCCAGGCCCAGTTGGTCTTCCAGCCCCTTCCGCACGCAGGAGCCATGAGTCAGAAGCGCCTCTGACGGATCTCTTTGTCTCTCTTTGCTCAGTTCCCCCCAATTTACACCTTGTTGCTGACCCACCTTCCCCTGTCCCGCTGAACACCACGGTGACGGTCACTTGCAGCATGGAAAATTTTTATCCTGATAATGCCAACATGGAGCTGTTTAGCAAGGATACCCCAAGCAAAAAAGGAAAGGTTGTCCAGAAGACCCGGAAGTCCGACGGGACATCTTCCCTGAAGAAGTACTGGGAGGTGCTGGCCACCAAAGACAGGAACTCCTCACTCTTCACTTGTGTGGTTCAACATAACTCCCAGCCTCTGGTCAATGCAACAGCAACATTGTTCATTGTGATGCAACCTGAAGGAAGTAAGTATGGACCTTCAGAACGTTTCTTCTGAGGGTTTGCTGACCCTCACCCTGCAGGTTGTTCCTTTGTTTTTCAGATTTTTTTTTTCACTATATGAAATTAGGCATCATTATTTCCCTCTTCTAAATAGTTCCCACTTTCTTTGTGACCCTTTCCACACTAAAAGCGGAGCTGATCTCAACTCCAGGGAATTTTTTTCTTTAGCATCAAACATGATCATATAAAATAAACTGGACAACTAGTTCCTAACTTAAATTGTCTTACTCTACGCTTAATCAAGCCCTTCTTTATTAAAGTCCACTATCTTAAAACTTTCAAGTATACTACATTTTAAGATATTGGACCTTAATAAAGAAGGGCTTGTTGTAAGGTTTACCCTGTTCGTCTCAGAGAAACTCTCGTGACACGTGTGTTCAGCAAAGAAGTTTACTCAAGCGTAATGTAGTAAGTACAGACAAAGCCAGGACTGGATTGGCACCTTTTACAATACAATTTATAGTTCCCCCGTTCCCGTGCTTAGCCCCTGTTGCTTGGTTACAGATTACCCCCAGTAATCCCCCCCTTTACTCAAATGGCAGATTCAGTCCAGCTCTTTCGTGTTCTTGATTGGTTTCTATCGATGGCATTGTTGTTGTATTTGTTGGGTCTTTCTGTTGCTGACAAAGCCGGGAGTTCCCAATCACATGCTGATTGCTTTACCTCTAATCCGCTGCTCTCCCCTTTGTCTGCAGCGCCCGAGGCAAATTGGCGTTGACACAAAGTATCCGCTTGCAGATTAGTTAAGCAGCCCCAGCTGGCCCACTAATCAGTTCGCGGTTTCCCACTTCTCCTTTTCCTTTGCTAGCACTTGAGTGGTGAAACTGATTAAGCACGGCTGGGCAAGTTCCTAGCCGTGCCGCACCGGCTGAATCTGACACTTGTTACATAGAGAGCCCCTTATACATAATCAGGTATTGCTTATGCCTTATGCCCTTAAGCAGGAAAAAAGAAAAGAAAAGAAAATCAGGAAAGCAAGATAATTTAAGATAAATAAATTAAAAAATTTTTTAAAAAGGATTCCAAGACAACGACCAGGAGCAAACGCCCACTGCCTCGCTAGGCTAGACAAGGCAAGCCAAAGGTGAAACCAAGGGGCTGAGCAACGCAGCTGAGTTTGGTTTTTACCTGGCTGCCCTGGGGTCTCCTTGGCACCAATGTGCCAGGAGTTGGGGTGCCTTGGCCCTGCAAACTTTGTGGCAAGCAGTCTGAGGTGAGCAGCCCGAAGTGGAATGGCGCAGTGGGTGGTTCCAGTTGGTCGGCACAGTGAGCGCCGCAAGTGCAGTAGGAGGCCTGAATCAGCGAGCGGTGCCCAAGGGAGCTCAACAGAGGCTGGGGGAGCTCAGTGGAGGTTGGCAGAACCAGGATGCACAGCTGAGCGATGCAACAGGGGGTGTGGCAAGTGCCCCCGATCCTAAAGATACAACGCAGCGGGCGTCCTGGGTTGAGCGGTGCAGCGAGTGGCTTGGGGTGCTCGGTTCCGCCCGGCAGAGCCTGGTGGAAGATGCTGTGACTCATCGGAGGCTGACAGAGCCAGGCTGCACAGCTGAGTGGCGCAGCAAACAGAGCCAGCGACCTGGGATGAGCGATGCAGCAAGTCCCCCGAAGGGAGGCCTGGTCTGCAGCAGCCTGGAGAACAGCCGAAGTAGGTCTGGGTCACTTCAAATGACGGAAGGTTTACAGGACTGGTGCTAGAGCAACGGTGGTACCTCGAATGGGACTGGGGGCCATAGCCAAAGAATTGGCAGCGACAGCCCAAGGCCTGGAAATCGGCTACAGCCTGGGTCTGAGGTGCAACCTGAGGGGCAGCCTAAGTGGTCAACTCAGCCAGCCCCTATAGCCTATGCAGAGAGGGCAGAGGTGGATAGGGGTTCCACCTGGGTGTGAGAGTTTGGGTGCCCTTCCCTAGGGAGGGAGCCCAAGGGTGAATGCATAGAGTGTGAATGAGGGGGTGAGTGTTGTGAGGATACTCACCCCCCAGTGAGAGTCGGGGAGGGAGGGGAAGTAGACTGGGTACCCCCTGCCAGTAGCGGTTGTCATCCGGGAGTCTCTGTTGGCCTTCAGGGGTTCTGCTCCACAAGTGGCCGGTTGTGAGACCCTGTTCCTGAAGTTGGGCTTGTGAGAACAGCTGGGATTGGTGCTGCTCTACCACCCTCCCTGCTGGGTATCACCCTCCCTGCCTGAGCTCTGGAGGCCGACTCGGGGCTGGCAGTGGAGTCCCCCAGGCTGATGGTTCACCTCCTTCCTCCAAGGCTGGTCCCAATCAGTGTTGACAGAGAGCGAGAGGTCCAGCCCGCGGCCCCTCCTTTGTGCCCCAAAGATGGCACATGTTACCCCTTTGCTGCGTGATCTGCATTGGGTCCCAGTTTGCTTCTGGGTCCAATTCAAGGTGTTGGTTGTCACCTTTAAAGCCCTACATGGCATGGGACCGGGTAACCTGAGGGACCATCTCACCCCCATTATATCCACCCAGTCAGGCAGAGAGGGTATGCTGCAGACCCTGTCAATGAAAGAATGTCAACTGGTGGGCTCCAATAAGAGAGCCTTCTCTGCAGTGGCCCCCACCCTATGGAATACCTTTCCCCAGAGGCGAGGCAGGCCCCAACTCTCTTGTCCTTCGGGAAGAAAATCAGGTATGTGGATGTGTGGAGGAAAAGAGTCAAGCCCCAAGGATGGGAGATGGTGAAACCACAAGAAATCCTTAGTTGTCGGAATCAGCAGACAGCTTGAGATGGTGACCAGCTAGTGGCCGATCCAGCAACTCATGGCGGGCAGAAACTGACTTCCTTTCTGGGTGCAAAGGAGCAAGCTCTGCCTTGAAAGAGAGCACTTGGTTCTTAAATGCAGATCTAGTTCATTCAAAAGAGCACTAAAACCTTGTGGAGGGCCCAGGGCTGTCCAGGTCAACTTAAGGTCAAGGGAGGGCCTCAGCACAGCCCACCACTGGTGCCCCTTGGTGCTGGACTGGCAAGGCAGGAAGTGCTGAAGGCGAAGTAAGAGATTAAACCATCCGTTTTCTTCCAGTGCATCCCCCTGGCCAGACCCCGCAGCTTTGGCAGAGGACAGTCATAGACAGGGGCCAGGCGGGGGGTAGCGGGCAGGACGGCAGGATCATCATCAGACGTTGTTCATTCCCCCTCTGGAAATGGCTGAGGGGCTGTTGCCTGGGCTGAGGGGGGCAATTCTTGCCCTTGAACTCTGCAGCACCTCACAAAGTCCTTCTTCTCTTTACCGGCATCAAAACTTCCCCCCTTGAGACTCAGTGGGTGACCCAACTTCTGGCCTTCTGAGAGAGGGGTGAAAACATCCTTGGAACATGCATGATGTTCTTCCACACCAGCATGTCTCTCTTTAGCCTCCATCCAAGCGGTGGCTTTAGGGCATGGCAGGAGTATTCTCCCCCCCCATTTCAAAATTGGGGTTTTCTGATTTTGGGGGGGTTTGTTTGCACCTCTCCCAATTGTAAAATCTCCCTCTCCATATCTATATCACCCTGAGTGAGTTGGGCCACCATATAAATTGCATAAATAAATAAATAAATAAATAAATAAATAAATAAAATGTATATCAATATCTATCTATATTTCTATATTTATATCTCTATCTCTGTTCTATCTCTATATCAGAAACTGAAAGAGGTATATAGCCTGTTCCCACCTGGCCTTTGCTTTAGGGAAGATTGTTTGGGGGCTCGGGGGCTGTGTCCTAAAAGTGCTCCATGTGGTCTGGTGAAGTGGTGAAGGAAAGGGAGACTAGAACATACACCAGGCCCTGATGGAGCACCTCTTCCCCCGGCCCATCTCGTCCAGCAGCCTGTTCTCCTCGTGGCCCACCAACTGCCCAACGAAGCCCACTGGTCTCCCAGTAGATGGCACTCCCACCGCCATCCAGGCTGACAGCCAAGTATCCCCCAGACTTTTAGCAATTGATCCAAGATAATCAGCTGTTGCTTATGGCTTAGGCCCTTAAGAGGAAAAAAAGAAAATCAGAAAACCAAGTTATTTAAGATTAAGATAAATGTATGCCAAAGTCCAGTGACAGAGCTCAGTTCTGAGGGAATGCAAACACAATCTTAGCAGTTCATAGCTACATAGAGTTGCCAAAAACAGGGTTAGAGGGGCTCACACATAAGTAAAGGGTTCCTATTATTATTTATTTCGTTGATTTACTGAAATTTTTAAACTGCCGAGTAGCTGAAACTCTTGGGATGGCTTACAATAGAACACACTAAAAAGGTACAAGGTGAATAAAAGCAAATGAAATGTAAAACTAACATACCACCTGTATACCACTAAAACTCTCCTGTCTGTAACATTCACCTGGGCAAAATGGTGTGTCGTAGGGCGACAGTTTTTGAATTAATGTCCCTCAAATGGGCTAACTTACAGAATGCAACCAAAATCCAGGACCCATGACTCCTGTGGGATTGAAATTTGGCAAAATTGTGACTGCTTCAGCACCACTGCGCATTCTGAGTACACTTCCCAGAAACCCATGGGTTCTGTGGTTCAGGGGAAGATGGGATGGGCATATCCCTGCCCACTTTCCCAATTGCCTCTGGCCCCTGGCCCCAATCAGCTGGCAGGAAGGCCCAACAGGTGAGTGGTGATTGGCTGCTTTGAAACCAAGGCCAACATTTGGAATCTCTTAACAGCAGTGGACGCTGGGGGAAAGACGAGGGAGCGAGTCGGATGCCCTCTTGGGAGGCACAGCTGGCTGCAGGGCACTGGTGGTTGGCAGGTGAGCCCCCTTCCTCCCTGGAGGGATGGGCCCCTTAGGGACATGGCAGGAGGGCCCTTGGTTCCACACACACCCCCACAAGCAAAGTGGCAAGAGTGAATTCCAACACTCCCCGCCAGCTTCCCACAAGGAAAGTCAATGGGGGAGCCGGCAGGAAGTTGCTCCCACTCCCCCTGCTTTTTTGCCCTGGGTCATTCTTGTCCTCTGCTTAGTTAAGGAAATATCTCCGAAAGGATGAGCCAGCAGGTCACAGGTGGTCTAACATGAACTAGGCAGCTTCAAGGTGGTCATTCAGAAATGGCCAGGAGTCCTAGAGCATTGATCCCAGAGTCCAGGAGGTTTATATTCACGAAATGCAAGTAATTCTGTTCTCCGAAGGGGCACCACCCGTTCTTCTCTCTCAAGAAGACCGGTGACCACTTTCTAGAGAAAACCTAGTATAAAAGTGTCTCTTTTTGTTTCAGTTGTTGGAGGACAGAATGTGGAGATAATGCAACGTCCAGAATCCCTGTCGGTGACAGCTGGAGAGACCCTCAATCTGACATGTACCCTGACTGGGGGGAATCCACCAGGAGGAGTGAGGTGGTACAAAGACCTGGACAGAAGCCAACCTCCCATTATCAGTGATAAAGAAAGAGCTTCGAACCGGGGGATGAGGGTCGTCCCAGGATCAAACACAGACTTCAGCATCTCCATCCGAAACAACCTCCCTGCAGATGCTGGGACCTACTACTGTGTGAAGTTCAGGGCAGGCAACCCAGAGAGACAGCTG